TCGCAAAGGCGGTATACTACGTATACGCGCCAATAAAAATTGTATATAACAATTATATATGATTTAGCTCAGAATTTTACGAGCAATCCAACCATGCAATGGACGAAGAGATTGGGGCAAAATTACAAGAAATTGATCTTTTACGAAAGGGCTTCCTATGAAGAATTTTGACCTGAAGATAGGGGTAGAATAGCAGCAGTTCGCATACAATAGCTTTTCGCGTTCACAATACCCGGTCTCGTCGATGTGCGTGCTCGACCCTGCAGCGTTGTCATTTACATGGTCCATGCGTTTATTCGCCCGATTTTTCAGGGATCATCGTTCGTGGGCCCTAGTATACTGTACAGATGTTTATTTATTTTCTAAACGAAAATATATCATCTTCAGAAAGCGTTGAGCTACCAGTTCAACATAGGTATTTATATCATTATATCTTTTTGGTACACTATTTGTTTTTGTTTTCTTATCCTTCTTCTTCCTCTTTTCTACTTTTAACCTAAACTATTTTAGTCCGCGGTATTGTGGTAATTCCAGCACAAGCATGCCGTAAATGTATAATGCAATCAAAAGACTTCAAATTCTTTTTCTAAATGTTGTATATTAAATTATTATTCGTATAATTTCTTAGACGCACACTCTGATAGAAATCCTAATTTTGAGAATTTTTTTGCTGGTGCATCTCGATAGATATACCTCTTGATACACACTGGAAAAAAAAAACACATTGGATCTAGAGTCCAGACTCTTAAAAACATCGACAAGAAAAAATACTCTTGATTCAATCAGATTTAAGCTTAAATCAAAAGGAAATCCGCTCAAATGAAGAGGCTTGGTTCTTGATTTGAGCTTAAATCTGATTGAATCAAGAGTATTTTTTCTTGCCCATGTTTTTAAGAGTCTGGACTCGAAATACTTTTTTTTTTTTTTTTTTTTTTTTTTTCCCAATGAATAAACAAATGGGATGGACTTTTTTTTTTTTTTTTTTTTTTTTTTTTTTCTTTCTTTTTTTCTCCAGTGTACCACTATGATACTGATGCCCCATGCCCGTGACAGCGTACCCTTAAAAACGGCGTCGGAATGTGAGCAAAAGTTTAGCTCGATTCGTCCTCCGGAAACCATTGTTGCCAACTAATGGAAAATGCAGAACCATTTGTATTTCAGAAACTTTTCACTCGCGCAGCATTGAAAGCGCGCTAACCCCTCATATTCACCGCAGCATTTCACCGCAACGGTTTGGAACCGTATTGTTTTGGCCTTTGAGAATAGCATCCGAGCTCTTCGCCTGCCCACAGTGATTTTGGATGAAAGCCAGCATTACAACTGTCACAAGCCTAAAATTAAGAGCAACAATGTATTATTCACGTTGCGTGAAATTGAAACTGGCAATCTCCTGCATATGCACGTTTCGTCTAACTCGCTGCCCTTATAGGGATAGTCAACGAAAATTCATTCATTTTGCATCGTAGGCTTTGTTTTTGTCTTTGGTTTTTGGTTTCCTTTCTCCAACGCTTCAGTTGACCCGAAAATCTGAAGCTTGAGTAACCTTATTCCTGAAGTTGGTGAAAAAGCAATGTGAAGTTAAAACAATTTGTTCATCGATAAAGGATCCTTTGGATCGTAAAAAAATACTACACATATTTTAGTTATTCGCAGGTTTTATGAATTACAATTTGATCGTTACAAAGTTAAGGGCATGGGTGGACCTTTGTGGGGGGGGGCAGTGGGGTCACTCCTTAGAGACGTGGCCGGCGCTTCTCAAGAAATGTAAAGGATTTTGCTACATAAGTGCGTGTCATACATTTCATCTGTGAAATTTTATTTCAATCGTTTTCTTAGTGCAGACAACTCAAAATAGTTACTTCATGAAAAATTAATTTTTCATCATTTTCCCAAGGAGACTCTGGGCCATACCTTAACCCTCTACAGCATAGAATTCGTAAAGACGTATTTTTTATGTTTGTAAAAATTAAATATTTTCTCCGTGGCATGATTTTGCAAATTTTCATCAGTTTTTGTCTTCTTTTGAATAGCTGATTCCAAGAATGTAAAAGTTTGGGGGAAAAATTGGCACTCTATGTTTTAAAGGCAACCTACAAAATAAATTAGTGTCCCCAAGAATCTAAGATCCAAATTAATTCATGCCATAGAAGGCTGAAGCTGGTGAAGTCTCCCTAATCTACCTTTGGTGCTGATGGAAACCTCTAGAACCCCAGAGATGGGGTGTCTTTCTGCGTCCCTGGAGTTGCCTTGATATGAAGTAACCTTTTAGCCCCCCACGAAAATTTTCTGATTCCGCCCATGATCAAATGCGTACTAATCCGTTATTTATTATTCGAATTTAATTTTAAATCTAGTCCGTTAAGACGCACAGTATATTGAGTCAAAAAGAGAGGTCGGACATACAATTTTTTACTGAAATTGTAAATTTTTATGTTTATTTCCTCGCATTTTAGATTTCAAGGAGTGCCTCTAGCAGAAAATTACACGAGGGAACCAATGATATCCCTTTTTAGAACCTTAAAGTATTGTATAAACGTAGTTATAAGCGTTTAAAGATTCCGAATTTTGTCCGACCTCTCTCATTACCTCGATCCATTGTGAGACGGGAAAAAACACTCGCCACTGTTCCTCTCGTTTTAAAAGTTGTTATCGACAGTGCACAGTAAAAAAAATATCTCATTTCAAAGCGACCAAATTTGGCATCAGAGCTTTTCTTGTCAGCTGAACATGACATGTAAGCTTCAAATTTGCAATAAATCGCCAGATCATCTCTTGCATGAAACCAATCGGGGGGAGGGAGCGATTCGCGTTCCCTCTGACCGATAAACTTCGAAGAGACAGAATTGAATGGGGCGGGGGGATTAGATCTAATTGTAAGTTACGAATGCCCTGTCATTTGATGTTGAGTCGGTCGTAAGATTTCTTCAGCTTTTGCTTCGACTGAAACCGATATCTGTGCTGGCCCGGCGGTGATCTCAGTATCCGGCGATTGACAAAATTATTCGACGGGCATTCGATTGCAACTCTCCTTTAGACGTCCCATCGAAATTTCAAGTTTTGCCCTATAATCTATTGAAACTTTTTCCTTCCTCCACGGAAAGTTAAAAAGTACTTGGCCTTTATGTCTATTAGATTGCTTTGCGGAATAAATTGATCTATTAACTAAAATTTTAATTTGTTACAATTTTGATGGGACATCTTGGTTGCCCACAGCAAAAATATTTAAACTTTCGTGGTTTCATTTGTGGGGGGAATTTTTTTTCATTTCATTTGAAGAAATAGATTGCAGAGAATGTTTTAGAGAAAAAGTTTATCTAAGGGAGGGAATTCCAATACCCTCATTTGTTTGCCCACAAGTAGTTTGCTTTGTTGTAAGTGTTCTTATCAAAGTCCGAATAATTCATACTAGAATCCCAATGATCTATGCCCCTAAAGTAATCGAAACCTTAAGTTAAGGGAGAATTTCAAGGAGTCCAGGAGAACTATGTTTTTTTCCCTGCCTGGCTAGAGATTTCCCTTCCTGGCCCCTGAAATCCCCCTTTTGAGATTTCCATGTTTGAGGCCATGGATGAATTCAGCTCCTAGTAACAGAGGATCAGCTATTTTCCATGAGTTTTGGTCTCCGGCCATCGCCATAATTCAGAAAACAAAACTGCAAATAATGCAAATAATAACTGGAAACTCTAAATAATTCAAGCGATGAACCTTATCTCGAACTCATGGCACTTTTGAAAGGCAAAAAGTCTTCTTTTGACCCATAAAAGATACGTGCCCCTACAGTCTTGCGGTTTGAACCTTAAACATAAATAAAAATAGCGCAGAGTATATTTGGACTTCATTATGCAATGAGGAATTACAATTTCTGGTTCAGTTTTTAAAACAACGTATGTGCAATTAGCTTCCCAATATATATGTGTGTTTTTACAGGTGAGCGAGAAATTGTAGTTCCTAATTGCAAAATGCAGTCCATTTACGAGTGCTTGGAGATAGCACAAAGTATTTTTCCATTTCATCATGCAATCAGGAACTACAATTTATGGCTCAGTGGAAAAACAACGTGTGTACCATTAGTTTCTCTATTCTGCCGTGCTATAGAAGAACGCCGTATGAACATTCGACAGTTGCCAAATTTCCTACGATAAATTTTTTTTTAAGAGAAATTGTAAATATATTTCCTTGAAATTTTCGGACACTTTAGATCAAATGGACGTATTTCTGCCAAACGGAACTAAGCGCCAATTTTAGTTCCTTTTGAGGAATTTCGAATACCGGATAGCGCGTTCTGTCAAACAGAACTAAGCGCCATGGAAAAGCATTGCGAGTATAGGAACGAATGAGCCCGACGACGCCCGGTTCCGCCACCAATCCAAGCCCCCTCTACCTTCCTGCCCTGATGGCGCTTAGTTCCGTAGAAATAGTCCAAATTACGGATAAAATTATCTAAAAAATTGGCAGAATAATATTAAACATTTTCCTAAAAATAAGTGATTTGCCAGAGGAAATTTGGCAACGCCTGAAGGTTCATGCGGCGTTTTTCCTTAGCACGGCAGTATTGACCGAGTGTTTTCACGGATGAGTCACAATGTTTAGTTCCTAATTGCAAAATGCAGTCCATTAACGAGCGCTTGGAGATAGCACAAAATATTTTTGAATTTCACTATGCAATCGGGAACTAAAATTTCTGGCTCAGTGTAAAAACAACGTGTGTACCTTTGGTTTCCCTATTGACCAAGTGTTTTTGCAGATGAGTCACAAATTGTAGTTCCTATTTGCAAAATTTAGCTCATTTAGGAGTACTTGGAGTTCAGCTTTGGCAGGCTCTACGATGGAAATTTGACGTCAAGTTTGAGAGCCTCTAATATTGAGCAATGGACAGGAGCCAGATGACCACGGTCCCTGAGCCGGAGTCCGGCCGACTCCGGACCTCGCGTCTCGCGGCAGATGAGTCAAAAACAACCTCCCACACCTCCCCACCAACCACCTCCTCCTGAGAGGACGACCAACAACTGGACCTATAAGAACTCCTACTCCGTCCCCGAGACTCTTAACTTTTAACTCACCCGTCCGCTATCAAATATCCAGCTTTTGTCCGGCAAAACCCTCGACTTTTTTTTTTCTCAAAAGTGAGTGAGTGTTGTGGTTCTGCGTCGTAACGAGGATCTAACCGAAAACGAATCATGGTGAGTCCTTGGCCTTTTCATTCCAAAATTCTGCGCTGTTGTTGGTGTCTATTTTCCCATTTTTCTTCTTTTTCTTCTTTTTTTCTTTCTCGTATTGGTAGGTTGATGGATATTGAAAACGAAAATCGTGCTGATCTATTCCTGTAATCCCTGAATTGAAAAGAATTATACCGATATAAATAATTCAACGAGGATGGAGCAACGGGGGAGATTTGTTCTTTTCCAGTTCATTTGACTGGATGTGCGGAAACAAGAGATATTTGAACTTGCCCCGAATATTATCCAGAAGGGGGTGATGAGACGCTTGAATAAATGATTATGTCAAGCTAAAAAATACTCCATAAAAATAAGTCATACTTCTGTTTTCATCAATGAAAATATTGTTTCGAGGCCAAGAGAGGCTCAGTGCCTCAATTTCCGCTAATTATTTTAACAGCAGACCATTTTAGTTACCTACACAGATATCGCAATTTTAACGAGGGACAGAATGTTTCGCCTTCAATTCGTGACATAGGCAAAAGAGAGTTCATCAAAGTCGCAATAGTGGTATCAACATTTCAATGAACTGATCGTGAGGATAAGCCAGCACCTCCTACACATCAAAAAGTAGGCTCGAGTACACCATCTTCCGGAGAATTTGGCTGGATTCCATCCTTTATAGATCCAATAATTATGGGTCGAGTTCACTAATGCAGCGTAATTCCTGTAAGAATATTTTGCTAAAATATCCTCAAAATGTAAACATTGAGTCATAGGGACAACGTTTTAAAATTCAGAATATGCAGGGGGGAATTAAAACCGTTTGTCGATGTCATCAGTTTCAAATGAAAAATTTAAATTCAGTATATTCCGTACAATTCGTCGCCCTCCTAACATAGGGGCGTAACAACTTTTCGCGATGAACCCTGTAGTTCATATAACTCAATGCTTTTCCGGGCTCATCTCAAATTGTAGTTACACCCTTATGTCAGCAAAGCGACGAATGGAGAATGCGCGCCGAGCTCGTGTGTCATTGATCTAAAAAATCGCAGGCAACTTAGCTTTCAATAGAACTCAAATTGAAGAAAATGTCATGTTATTAATTTTTTGTTCACCGCGGTTTTAGTCTAAATATTGAGATCTATATTTTAAAAGTTTCTTTGATACTTTTATGACTGGAAATCCCCTTGCAGACGTGTAACAAGGAGTGTTTTACAATTTACTATAACTCAAGTACATTTTCCCGGCACGTGAAAAACTCTCGGGAGCATGAAGGCAGCAGTGTCATTCGCCCCCTAAAACCTCTCATCCATGAAAGCCGCCTAAATATAGCTCCCCCTCATTGGCGAGGCGTGAATGATTGACTATCGATGTCTACCCATTTGAAGCTATGGTAAAGAATCGATTAATAAGGTGTCCGTTGCGAACACCCATTTTATCGATCCTTTTTTATGGGTTTAAATGGCAGATCAATCGATATATCGCAAAACACGCCACGCCACTGCTCCTCCTCTTTTCTTTCTCTTCCTCTTTTCTCCTCCCTCGCTGTCCCCTAGGCCGGCCATGATAAAATGAGCACTGATTCGAGGGAATTCCTCATACGATGATCAAATGCACATAATGCGCGTAAAACAAAAATCATTCCATCTACTATTCATACTATTATATTTCGAGTCTGTCAGCACGGACCCTATTTTATAGTTTACTTAAGTCAAATGGTACAGGAAAATGATTTGGTCTAGGCTGCCTTTTTATCGCACGGAGGAGGAAGAATGAAGACGATGTGATGAATAAAATCGAATGTTGCTTTTCAATGCTAAAATTGGTTCTCAGCAACTTTTGAAAATGAATGTTTTGCACAGAAGAAAGAAAGCCAAAAAAGTAGACCCTCTCTTGCTTAAATTGCGTGAAAATTACGCCCAACGCATCAGAAATGTCTGAAATCCACACTTAAATGCAACATTTTAAGTAGTCAATATTGTACACTTCCATATTTTCCGGTTCCGCGACGCACCTTTCTTACAATTAGTTACTGGCAACTGATTTTACTGGAGAGATCTCTCCATACCTCGAGGTATGGAAACCCTGACCTGAAGGAATAAGTAGAATATCCTACAGCAACTTATATTAAACTGTTAAACATTTGTCATGCGTAAGAGTTTGATCGTTTTCAAGTATCCGTTTTGGAATTCATATTTTATGTAGTAGAGCTGTAATGAAAATGCATTCTCAGCCTGAAGAGATGCCAAATTCAACCCTTAAATATTTCTCTTCAAAATCGTAGGGAGAGATGGAATTTCTGTGGAATGTATTTCTCACTCTTTGTCGTTCTGCTGCACTGCGTCGACTCACTTCCCGTAGCACCCAGCACCACTAAAAAATAACACGGTGAAAATACATAGAGGCTTTTTGACTCCCCATTTTTTCATTTTTGGTCAAGGTTCTTTCGAGAGATCTAAAGGGGAAAAGTTAATAATTTTTGTGGCTATGAGCATTTACCACCAAAGCAGCCCACTATCTTTAATTTTAAGCCTCAGGCGCTTTTTGATTTGAATCTGTCCCTAGAATTTTAGTATAGTGGAAACGCGTTCAAATGACGCACCAGCTCATCAACAAGAAGACGGAGAAGGGTCCAACATATTTAGAATAGATCGATATGATACCTTTATTAAAAGCTTCTAATGTCAAAGCACAAAGGAAGATTATCGTTTTTCTTTACTTTTTAGCGATAAAGTAGTTTTCTCAAAATTTATAATTAAAATTTTGGTGAGCGAGTTCTTTCATGTCAATGCACGTGCTATTCATCTTCGGAGAACCTAAAAACGCGTTTACATAGAAAAAAGCTGACCACCCTCTCTAATACGACCGTTAATACACACAAGCTCCCCCCAATAATTTTCTTCATGACCCAGGAAGCGGCCCTCGGNGGGGGGGGGGGGGGGGGGGGGGGGGGGGGGGTTGAGCTGCACAACAGTCAGGGTGTTATGTCCAAAGCACCCTGACTGACCTAAAATTGAATCGGTGAGAACGAAAACACACCAACTCGGTGACTCAAAAATGCCCAATTTTCTTTAAAGACAGTCAGTTTTCATAGAAGTCATTGAAGTTAGCGCATCTGTTCCAACTTTCACTTTTAAAGTGTCCTCAAATACTTGTTTTTGGCATCAATAATATTATCATTGAACTAACTTTTTAACCTACTGTGCGGTTTTGTGTATGTCTTGAATATTTCCATTTTTTCGAGTTGGTGTGTTTTCGTTCTCACTGATTCAATTGTGGGCCAAGCGTCATCGATACAAGTGGATTTGGACCAGATTTGAAATCGGTGACGGCACTTCAACTTTACGAAATGGCCCAAACGACAAGTGCCCCAATCCGACCGGAATCCATACTTTCGCGGCTGACAACATTCCATCATTTCGAGCCCGTCAATTTCTTTGCTGGGAATCAGACAAAGTGAGAGGATGGTAGGGTTGGGAATCCTAGGTGAGGGGAGTGGGGGGATCTTCTTCAAGTTGAGGCAGCGGGAACTGGATTACTGGATTACTCCCGGCACGATCTGCTCGTGGGTGCCGACAGCGTCAGACGGCGACATCGCACAGTGGATCGAGTCAATGAGAGAGGTCGGACATAATTTGGAATCTTTAAAAGCTTATGACTCTGTAAAACCAAAACTTTGAGCTTTTAAAAATGGTTCTATTGGTTTCCTCGTGAAATTGCCTTCTAGAATCACCCCTCACAATTTAAAATGTGATTAATGGAACATCAAGATTTGGAGTTTGGTCAAAAATTTCATGTCCGCACTGAAAAAAATTCTCTGCGTTTTTACCAAGGTCCGTTGGTACCTTTACCATCTCACTTTTTTACCAATTATTGGTAATTTTACCAAGGCAAACTGGTAAGCTTACCTGAAAACCGGTATTTTTACTGTTTTTTTTTCAGGTAAGAATACCACTTTTATTGGTAATCAATTCCCGGTAACTTTGCCATTTTATCTCGGTAATTCTACCACAGTCGATAAAAAATATAGGCGTTTTTACCGAGGTCCAGTAAAATTACCGAGAAAGTTCAATAATTTTACCGAGATTTCTCGCTAAAATTACCAATTCCATAAATGGTAATTTTACCAAGAAAAAACTGGGATCAAATGGGACCCTGAATTCTTGGTAATTTTACCCTTTTCTTGGTAAAAACACCGAGATTTTTTTTTCAAACGACCTCTTTGATTGATTCGATCCACTGTGCGCCGTCGTCCTTGCCAGGAATTCCGTTATCGGGATCACCGGATCGTGCTCGCGGTGCAAGTTCACCTGGTTTGCATCACTCGATTTCTGCACCTGCGTTTGGACAACTTCGGAGGGTATGGATTTGACCGACGTGAACCGATCGAAACCGATTCGATTGACAAATTATTAAAAAACTGGTGTCCATTTGACCGACAGGATTCAATCGATTCAGCGGGCTGATTATTGAAATTGATAGACAAAGCAATAGACAAAAGAGACAAAAAGGCTTTGGAGGGATCCTTTTGGTGGAAGCGGGTGGTTGCAATGGACAAAGGGCGTAGGTAATAGACTAACTAACGGCAATCCACAAGAGACCCGATAGTTAGTCCATCATTTACCCCTTTAGTCTATAAGAACTACCCATTTCAACCAATAGGATTTCCCTATACTTCTTATGTCATCTTTGTCTATAGCTTTGTCTATAAATTTCAATAATCGGCCCGCAGGTGTTTGTCGATCGATTCACGAAGTTGCCGATCGACTCTCGGATTTTGTCGATCGGATCACGTCGATTAGTTCACGTATTGGTTTTTCGATCGATTCATGTCGATCGAATCCATTCCCTCCCTCCAGATCATCAGCGTGCTCCTCATAGAGTGACTTAGGGAAAGTGCGTGGAATTGATGTTTTAGTATTACTCTAAAATATCAAATCATGGCTATGCCTTACTGGATTTCAGTCTATTTTGTCACCTCTCTCGCGACCTGTTTTACTGCATAAGTTCATTCCACGTAA